TCTTTCAGAGCAAGCAGGACTGTAACAAATCCTCATTTCCTTGCTGAAGTTCTCCAGTGACCTACTCAAGAGAGGGAGAGACTCTCTCCAGTGGGGTACACAGAGGACATGGTCTGGAGATTTACCTCTTGCAAGACTGCACTCTTCTCCAGGTGCTGGAATGGGTTGGAATTCCCACCTGCAAAACAAAGAGAGTAAAAGTCTCTCCAAGGATAGTGCCATGGGAAAGCAATTTTTTAACCATGCCCATACTTTGAAAGCAGTCTGAGCATTTTGGGGTGATTTTTTTCCATGAACACCAAGCAATGAGAGAACTTCCTTTGAAGTAATATTAACTGGATGTCTTCATGGCAGGCAGGGAAGGCAGAGCAGATGGGACATTCTTCAATTTGACCATTCTTCAATTTGCCATCCCCTCCAGAAGTAACTGCTGTGAGCTGAGGCAGACTGATCAGCTGTAAAATAACTGTGCTCCATTCTATCCCCAAAGACGTATTTCCACCCTGGGCTGGAGCTTGCTGGCAGTTAGAGCATCAAAGGACAGGCCTAGGAACAAAAGCTTAGACAGAAAGAGGAATTGCTTGCCAGACTGGTGAGTCAGGAGTGCTTTATCCCTCCCATATAAACCAAACAAAAATCCACCAGTAAAGTATTTTGGCTTTATCACAAATTAAGAGAACAAGACAGCAGACTAGATAGGCTGGACACAAAGTAACTTTCATTGTTCCACTTAACAGAGTAAATTATTATTAGTAAATTATTACTAAATAATTTAATTTTTAATTTAATACTAAATACATAGTAAATTATTACTAAATAATTAGAATCCCTCAGCAATTAAGGATGGAATAATCAGAGGGAAAAGCACTATCATTCTGCATGGTCTCTATTAGATTGCCTCCCAAGTATTTGTGAGCTGCAGCTTTTCAAAAGCTGCTAGTTATTGATAAGCAGGTTTTAATTAGAACCTATGTCCTGCCTGGCCCTGGGACAGAATGCAGCCTTTTTCAGGGTTGTTGTAGTGCTTGTTCCAAAGCCTGGTCCACCAGAGAGAACCTCTCCTGGGCCAAAATCTGACCTGACCCAAGCTTGAAGCATCCCAGGCTGGTGCCAGGAGCCCTCTCTAGTGTAAGCCTTACATACAAAAGCAAACACATCTCTGCTCTGGCTCCTTCCTGGTTCATAACATGCCCTCCTCTGGCTCAGGAGAAGTTTGCAAAGGCAGCAGGTGGCTGAACAAAACACAGACACTTATGTGAGGTTGAAGAGGTAGAACAAAGCAAGGGGAAAGTGCAAAAATGTCTCTAGTATGAGTATGAACCAGTTCTAGGATAAATATGTTAATGTGTTCCAAAAATCTGCCCAGCAGCCCAGTATTTCCATGGTCCAGCATGTCTACAATCCTTAAATCAGCCATGAATAACACTGCATCACCTCTTTATCCTTCATAGCACTAAGGATCCCAAAATACATTGTACATGGGGTCCCAGTCCTCACAGCACCCTGCATTAGTTTTCTTCCATGGAGAGGGAGGGCAGAGCAAAGGTTGTGTGTTCATAAAGTTCCTAATATTGGCTAACTAACAACAATTTATTCTGATTTGTAGAGATACATAAATTTGTGGCCAAAATGACATGTCAAAGGGAGTGGGAGCAGGTCATCCAAGGCCAGCAAAACTATGGAAAGCAAAGACACAGAAGGCAATTAACTGGATTTGTGCTTCTCCTGCCAGCCCTAGCCATAGGTAATGTCAATAATTTGATGGGTGTGGCAAGGTGCAAATGAAGGACAATCCCCAAAATTAAAGCCAAGAGCAATTCCCCTCCAACAGCTGCCTCACTAAATTCTCTGCTTATCAAGATGTCACTAGAGGCCTTGGAAAAGGGAAACAACGGCAAAGCATTGAATGCCCATTAAGATAAAAAGAAAGCACAGCCACACAGAACAATCACCAAGATGTATGCTGAATCAATTTGTTTCAGGACACACTGATTTGTTATGCAGAGCAAGATGTGTAGAAGACTTCATAGGAAGATGAAAAAGATACCACAAAGCTAAACCATGAAAGAAAACACTGTCTTATGATACAACGCTTCCACCTGAATTACACACCACATAAAATATCAACTTCTTTCTTACTAATCGGCCTAAAGTTCTGAAAACTCAGGCATGAAACTTTGTGTTTTCTTGGTGCTCTCAGATTTCCTGATCCATTGAAAGTAGCAGTGATTGTGGGGCCAGAAACGACGAACTGGATTCTACCCGGCCATAATGCACCTGGTTCCAGAGCTGGGCAGCTGTGAACAGCGCTAATGTGCTCAACATTTAGTCCCAGGCTCTGCACCTGCTGATGTGGCAGTAACCTCGGGGTGCTGTGCCCATACAACCAGTTTATCCTCCGGCCGCGGCTGCGAGGAGGAGGCAGCAGACTGCTCTAGTGCCCCCACAGTGCTCCCATAGTGCCTCCATAGTGCTTCCATAGTGCTCCCACAGTGCTCCCCACCGGTTCCATGCACACCAGCAAGCCCCCGCCGCCAAGCTGGCACCGAGCCTCCCCTCCCAGCTCCCCCTGTCCCTCACAGACCCCCCCATTTCCACAGGAGGGGTCTCTTCCCTCCCAGCTCTCCCCGCAGCCACGAAGGGCTCCCCCTCACCGATCCCCCCCGTGCCCTCAGAGGGGTCGCTCCCCTCACAGCGCCCCCGGCCTCCCCTCACCCGACTCCTCGTCCTTCTTGTCGAACTTCTTCAGCATGGTGCTACCGAGGGGCCTGTGGCTGCAGCCCTCCCGTCCCGTGGCAGTCCCAGCCTAGGTCCCGGTCCCAGTCCCGATTTCGATCCTGGTCCTGATCCCGATCCTGGTCCCGGCACGGCCCCCGCCCCTTCCTGCCCCCGCCCTTTCCTGCCAGCCTGTCACTGTCACCGTGACCGCCGCACTGCGCAGGCGCAGCACCGCCCCCGCCGACGTCTGCAGGGCGTGGCACGGAACCGTGACTGACAGGGAGGGGGCGGGGCCAAAAGGCAATAGCGCGATCTGATTGGCGGAGGGCAGGGCGGGGGCGGGGCTGGCAGGGGTCCGCGCTGGAGGGACACCGGGACTGCAGGGGCAGCCCTGGGGACACTGGGACGCTGCTCGGCGCTCTGGGGCTGAGAGAGCGCAGGGCAGGAGGCACCGGTAACAGAGGAAACACTGATGATGAGGGTGGCACTGGGATTCCTGAGCTGGGCAGGGGAAGGGCACTGGGGAGGTGAGGGGGCACTAGAGGCAGAGGGGGCTGAACCGTGGGGGCACGCTGGGTCTCGGGGAGGACAGATGAGACGCGGGAGCAGAACATGGAAATGAGGAGATCGTCGCGGGCTCAGCGTCCCAGGAATAATTGGGAGTGGCAAGGGACAACAGTTGTCACTCAGGCTTCCTGCCCTGGAGTGTCCCACTTGGGTGCACCAGCTCTGGCAGGTCTTCCTATGACCGCTGTCCCCCACTGCTGCTGGGACCCTGTCTCTACCCTGGACCCCAAACTCCAGGCTCAGCCCCACAGCACACTCCCAGTGGGTGCAGGGGGTATCTCAAGGGGCCAGGCACTGCCCGGGCATCACCTGAGCCTCAGGTCAAGCAGGGATGGCAAAAAACCTTTTTACCCACCTTGACACCTCACCCCAACCCACCATCTGCTGGCACGTCCCTTCCTGAAATCCGTCCCTTCCGTGGAATGTGGGGTCACCCCAGTCGCCTCTGCCCCTTTCCCAGAGCCATGCCCACCCCAGAGTGCGAGGGCTCACTCACCCTGCAGCAGGTAGTCCTCAAAGAGCATGGCCGTGTCCCCCAGCAGCTCCAGTGGCCCCCCTGGAGGTGTCTCTTGCCTCAGCCTGGCTTGCACCACCCTGTACTTTGCACGGGGCGGCCGCACTCTGCTCTGCTCTGCTCTTATCTCCCAGCTGGGCTGGAAGCAGCAGCTCCAGGGGCACAACATGAGTTCCCTGTTGGCCCAGAGCTACTGTGGGCTCCCTGGGCAGGCTCTGCTGTTGGTGCCAGGTCTGACACCCCTCATGTGGAATTTAATGACCTCCGTGCTAGCCCTGGCTGAGCACATGCCGTCACAGCACCTCTGGAGAAAAGGAACACAACATGGGAGCCTAAAGGGGTGTGTGACAGTGTTCCCATGGGTCTGAGGATGAGGGAAGAGACAAGGATATGACTCTATGCTTCAGAAGGCTTCATTTATTATTTTATGATATATATTATATAAAAACTATACTAAAAGAATAGAAGAAAGGATTTCATCAGAAGGCTAGCTAAGAATAGAAAAAAAAAAAGGAATGCAAAACAAGGGCTTGTATCTTGGACAGAGAGTCTGAGCCAGCTGACTGTGATTGGCCATTAATTAGAAACAACCACATCAGACCAAAGATGCACCTGTTGCATTCCACAGCAGCAAATAACCATGGTTTACATTTTGTTCCTGAGGCCTCTCAGCTTCTCAGGAGGAAAAATCCTAAAGAAAGGATTTTTCATAAAAGATGTCTGTGACAGGGGTGCAGAACAGGTATAAAGCACAAGGTGTGTTTGGTGCCTCATTTTATTGTGCACACTCACTCAAAACTCCAGCTTTGAGGCTTGGCCAGGCTTCGTGGAGGATTTTGTGTTCTTCAGTCACCCAGAGAGAAGAAACACCCAGGAAAAGCTGCCTGGCTGGATGCAGCCCCTTTGGAGACATCTGGGTGTTGGATGGGCAGGGAGCAAAGCCCAGCACAGAAATCCCTGTAGTGCCTGGGGCTGGGACCAGCTGTGCTCAAGCTCTGGCCAAGGTAAACCCAGCTGTGTCTTCTCAGTGGTGCTGAGGTGAGAGCTGTTAAACCACGTCCTGCCATGGCTGCTGCCTGTGCCACGAGCACTGGGGCCAGGGGAGTGAGGTGCTGTGTCAGTTCCCTACAGACACACCGATGCTGCTCCACCCTGTGCCAGCCCTGCTGTCCTCTCCAGCTCTGCTGGGTCCCAGCACAGTTCATCTCCTGCGCCCCAGCCGGGCCATCAGCTCAGCATTGGCAGCTGCCTTGGCCTGCAGCTCCTTCTCTCGGGCCAGGTCGAGCAGGATTTTCAGTAAGTGAGTGTGGACATCGAGTGACAGGGACACCTTCCTCTTCTTTTTGCTTGGAGCTGCTCTCTCAGTGGCTGGACTCATCAGCCAGGGCAGGGCTTGTCTTTCTGATCCCTCCAGCAGTGGCAGGCTGGCTTCATCTGGATGAGACCCTGCCCCAGAGCCATCGTCACCCCTCCTCACTTTGGAGACACCTGGCAGCATCTTGCTGTGGCTGGTGCTGTCCTGCCTCAGCAGCTTCCCTCCATCCACACCTCGGGGGGCTGCTGAGAGCCACTCACGGCTGGGTCCCTCCCGGGCCCCTGCTGGTGGCCCGAGGAGCAGCAGGCAGGAGAGCAGCAGGCGGGAGAGCAGCATCCTGCCTCGCAGCGTGCCCGGGGGTGCCTGCAGGGAGCAGTGGATTGGCTCTGAGCATCACCCCCATCACCCTGACACTGCCCCACAGCCCCCCGGCAGGTCACATCCCCCACAGAACCCCTCCACTCCCTGCACCTGGTGGGGCTTCACCCTCCTTTCAGGAGTCTTTCATTATTCCTCTCTGATTGTAACCCCCTTGAACAGGGTGGGGAATTTCGGGGAGGCTGAAGGGGGCATGGGAAGCAAATCCCCTGGGCGTCCTTGTCCTTTCACACAGCCCCTGGCCAGACACTGTGCCCTCAGTTTCACACCCTTCAGCCCTTTGTCAGCCAGGGAAGGAGACAGCCCTGTCCTGCCAGGGTGCTGCGGCTGCTCCCCAGCCCGTTCCTGCCCTTTGGCCAGGGAAATGCCTGCCTGGGGTTTCAGGGCAGGCAGTGGAGCTTTCTTCCTGCCACGCCTTCCCGGGCAGTGCCATTCCCCACTGTGTTGCTGGGCTCTTTAGGGCAAAAGCCACCCACCAAGGTGGGACACGAGCCCCTTGGACTGGCATACACAGGACATTGGGGCAGGAGACTGGCCACAGGTCCTGAGCTGTGTCAAGCCTCAGCAACTTTCTCCAGCCCATGCCTCGCCCTGGTCACAGGGAGGGCCCCAGGGATTGCAGGATGCTGAGCTATGGGGTGGGGATCGGGGTGCTGGGGTGTGGGGTGGGGATCAGAGCAGGTGTAGGGACACAAATCCTGCTGTATAGCTGCCTCTCCCTAAAATCAGTCACCCAGCAGAGCATCTCTGGGGTGAAACCCTTTGGAAAGCACCAGAATCAGCAGCCAGAGGTCGTTAACTCACTGCAAAGTGAGGAATGAAAAGCACCTAACCCCCTGCAACCTATTTCCCAGCTAAAAGCCCCTGAGAAGCACCCCTGAGGGCACAGCCTCACCATTTGCAGCAGGTCCTCGTGTCCTCGATGTTCAGCAGTGCTCCCAGGCTGCAGGGACCACAGGCTGGGGGTTTGCTCTGCTCCCTGCCAAGCCCTGGCTCTTATCCTGTCCCAGCTCCACCTCTGACCCGCAGAGGGGGTGACAGTGACAGGGGGAAGGTGGGGGGGCCGTGTGGAAATGTTTTTAATACATTTTGCCTAATGGCAGATGAAATCATCCCAGGATGTGGGTGGATGTTGCCCCCTTGCAGCTCCCCCAGCTGTTTGAAGGGGATTCCGGGAACCTGGGAGAGCTCAGTTCTAATTGTTCCATGTTTGACTTGCAAGATGTTTTTTCTCCATCTAATTAGGCCTCCCTACTCCTGTCAGGCTCTGTGATCACTTCAGGGAGGGAGAGAACGTGCACATTGCTGGGACCATGGGCATTGTGCCTCATAAGGACAGCTCCTGGTGCCAGCTTGGCACTGTGTCCTGACAGGCTCCCTGGCCACATGGAGGGCATGTCCAGAGACATGTCACCTCCCTGCTGTGCCAAACCCAGGCACTGCTTTGGCCACTGGATTGCAGGACACCAGTGGCTTGCAGCTCACCTTGATGCACTCCAGCTGGGACACCAGTGGTTTGCAGGCACCTGCACCATTCCAGCCTGGCCCAGCTGCCCAAGTGGGGTGAGCCCCTTATACAAGGATTTTGTTCCAAAATTCCCCCCTTAGGGAGTGTGGGAGCATCCCAAGGCTCTGAGGCTGTGTGGGCACCACATGAGGAGAGTTGTGGGTGCTCAGCCCCACAGCCAAGGGCAGGAGTCAGGGTGCCCAGGGTTCAGACCACCCAGGGCTCTGCCCACCCCTGTGGTCTGAACCCATGGGTGACCCAGCCTATGCCACTCTCCCCAGGACAGCAGGGAACAGAAATAATGCCAGCTTTGTTCCTCCTCCCAGGGACAGCCAGGAACTCACACCCAGTAGCCAAAATTAGCTGGCAGCACTGATTCACACAGCACGTCATGCAGCAGCACAGAGCCACGTGCTGACACGTCAGGGCCTGCACAGGGGGTCATGGCCTGGCTTGCATCAGCTGGGCACGTGCTGGGCACAGGGATGGGGCACTGGGCTCCCTGGGAGGGTGAGGGACCTCAGCCAGCCCTGCCAGCCAGTGCAGTGGGCAGCTGCAGAGGGCAGCCCAGCTGGCAGGGGCAGGGGGCATGGTGAGTCAAGAGCTGTCCCCAAACTCCACAGGCATCTCCAGAACGAGCCAAGAATGTGACATGTCCCTGTGAGCACAGCTTTAATACACATCCCCCTGCATTGGTACACATAGACATTTGCTGTATATAACATACACAGAGAACAGCAGGACGTGTGGGGCCACACAGCCCAGCCAGCAGCCCTGGGGCTCTGGGGCAGTGAAGGGCACGTCCCTACCCAGCCCTGGGCATGGGGGGAAGCAGGGGCTGCAACATCACATTCACAAAGCCTTTGAGAGTAAGTGTGGGCGAGCAGGAACTGCTTCTAACATAGCACCATCCTCAGGGTGTCCCTGACAGGCCTGGGGGGGCAGGTGAGATCCCCCAGGTTAAAGCCAGATGTGCTGCTGGCAGATGTGTGAGCTGGAGGGCAGCACACGGCAAGAGCCTCCAGTCTCCCCACAGGTCATTGCCAAACCATCGCAGCCACAAAAGGGGAACTGGGCCCTAGTTGAGGTAAAGGTGAAATTTATTCAGATGGAGCTCATTGCAGGGTGAGGGATGCTGTGCAGGGAGGCACTGCCTGGCACAGGGATGTGGGCAGCTCTCCCAGCAGAGACAGGGAACAGAGAGGGAGTTTGGGGGTCTGTGGGGGGCAGGAAAGGGTACAAGGGTATTATGGGAGGGGAGGGAGCCCAACTATGCCAAGTCCTACCTCTGCTTTCAGAGAGAGGGAACAGGGCTAAGAACCCTTCTGTTGGCCAGAAATAATTTAAAAATCAAACAGAGAACAGCCCAGTGGGAAAGGGGGTTCAGAGCCTTGCTGGGAGGCAGTTTCCCATTTGACATAAATTTCACCTTAATGACAATACACTGATATGAAATGAAAAACCCACGAGCAGCATAAAGACAGGTTAGAAATAGCACCAGGTTCCTGCTGGGGCTGGTGGGCACATGGCTGCTGCCTCCATGGGCAGCCCAGCCCCGGCCAGGGCAGCAGCTGGGCCAGCTCCAGGCAGCCCAGCCTGCCCAGACACTGCCTGCACCTACAGCTTTGGCTGCCCTCCTTCCTTGCTGCCAGCACTGCCGCGGGAAGCTGTGGAGAGAAGCGAGGCGCTGTCAGAGCTCGGGGAGCAGCGCTGTCCCCAGCTCTGCAGGGCTGAGCCCGGGGCACAGGGTGGAGGTGCTGCAGTGCCCAGCCCTGCCCACCTGTCCTGCAGTGCAGCTCACACTCCTCCTTGCTCTGGAAGCGGTTGGGGTTGCCCTGGCAGCCGCTGTAGACGAAGGGCCGGCACTCGGTGGCTCTTTGGTTGTAGTACCAGCGCAGGGTGTAGCGCTGGCAGTGCCCCTCATCCAGGGGCAGCCTGCAGGGCTCAGCTGTGGGCAAACCCTGCTGTCAGGGCAGGCAGGGATGCCAGACCCACCAGGCACAGGAGGGGAAGCCCAGAAGGACAAGGCTGAGCATGGGAAGGGTTTGGCTGGAGGAGACTCTCTGTGCTCTGTCCAAGTGCTGGAATTGAGGGCAGGAGACTCCATTCTGTCTGCAGGGACATCTCCCGGCAAAGAGATGGGGACATGATGGCTACAGCACCCCTTCCCAGATCTCCTGGGGCCTTTGGGATCTGTTCTGTGGCTCATGACCAGAGCACAGGAAACCTGCCAGGGCAGCAGGTCCCACCAGCCCAGCACAGCACCCATCACTGTTGGTGATGGCTTCAGTGAGGGGGATAGAGCACAAGGTCTGCATGGTGTGGGCAGCACAGTGACAGAGAAGGTGCAACCTTCCCAGGTACCAGCAAGAGGGCTGGAAACCCCAAATCCCCCAGACAGATGGCACAGGGACCCACTGCCCAGCAAAACCCGGGGCAGCTCCATGGTTTCCCCCAACAGCTTATCTCTGAGTGCCAGGTGAGTGCAGGGAAGCTCACCATCCCCTGTGGGCTGCTCCAAGCTGTCCATCTCCGGGACCTCGTCGTAGTCATCCTCCTCTCCCTCCATGTCATAGGCGAGGTCGTCGTCATCAAGCGTGACCTGCTTGTCCTGCCCTGGGAGACAGCACCACACGTGAGCAGTCCTCACCACACACATGGAGCACAGAAAAAGGGGGACAAGGACTGAAAGCACAGGGATGACACACCCTCATTGTCCTCAGCATGTGACAACTTGAGCACAGGGACTACGTGAGCGCTGCTAGCAAGGAATGGCTGAGTGGAGAAGGATCCTGTCAAGGGGACACAGGAATCAGGGAACAGGCAAAGGAGTCTAGGCTGCTTTCCCCTTATTTCCCAAGGGAAAACCACCCCTCTCAGGTGTGGAGCAGTGCAGCACTGCCCAACCCTGTTGCAGCCTGACAGGATACATGCACAGGGATGGTGGGTGGGGAGATTCCCCCTCCCCTGTCAGCACCACAGACCAGAGCTGCCATGGGGGCTTCTGGAGGAGGCACAGGCAGGGGAGGCCCAGAGAGAGCAGCCACTGAGAGCCCAGCAGGACACGGACGGGGGAGGGCACAGGGAGGCACACATGCCCGTGTCACCAGATCTCACAGACCCTCCAGACTCTCCATCACCTGTTTGGTCCTGCTCGCTCTCCTGGCGGACGATTCTTCCTGCTCCCTGGGCAGAGTGGAAGCTGCTCCTGGCCTGAGCCCCCCAGCCTCCTTGGAGAGAAAGCACCCACCTCATCCCAGCCCACCCTTTGCCTCCATCCCTCCAATCCCACTCCTCCAGCCTACCCTTCCCTCCAGCACTGCTGATCCCTGCAAGACCCCTGCCCCAGTTCTGACACCCAAGAATAGAAGGGGTACAGCTCCTGGGATCCCCTCAGTTGGGCAGATGCTGGCAGCACCCAGACCCCACTGGCACCATCCCAGCTGTCCCT